ATCTTTGAGCACAAGTGCTCGAATTTTGACATTTTCAAAAGTTCGGGAAGTTGATGGACATCTAGAACATGGTTTTTCATCAATCGACATTTCACCTGTTTTGAAATGAGAAAGCCACTGGTACCTTGAGTTTTTCCCATAACACCCAGTGGGGTGGAGAGGGGGTGGGGAATACCCCCTCACATATACACATGCAAGTGTTACTGATTTTGTTGTCCAGAGAATCTAGTCTAGTAAGTGAAAGAGTTGAACATTTAAGTCTATACTTTTATAACACTCTGGAAATAGCCAGATAGGTGGTACACAGAAAAGAACAGTGTATTGGATTCTGCTGAAGTAGTTGAGATTCTGAGCATATGGAATATTATCCTTTCCAATACTAAAGCAGTCTGCCTAGCAGCTGATATAAAGAAGCTTTGTAGAAATAAAAGAAGCACATACATAAGCATACACTCATCAGCCCACACAATTCATATATAAATATTCACACCGTTTTTCCAAATGACAAATGCAAATGAAGGTCAAGTAAAAGCCAGTTTGTTCCTCATGAACTATCAGGGAACTGGCATTTAAAAATATTATAAATTCAACATATGTACATACATTTATTTGTATACGTTGAATGGTTGGCAGCTGATGTAAGTGTTCTCTTCTAAATCTAACAGACTTTTATTTTTATCTTCATTTTGATAAGAGGGATTAAAAAATAAGACAATGGTCCTTATGCTTAGGTTCAGCTTAATTTTTCTCTTGGGAATTCTGAGACAAAATCTCATGAACTCTTTTCACAAAAAGCTTTCTGTAAGGTCCTGTGAGTTTACTCACCTTGCTGCTTTCGGACCTTTGACAGGTGTGCATCAAGAGAAACCTGTGTGAGCTCCTATTTGATAGATGTCCAAAAGATAATTTTAGATTATTGTAATTTTCAGGGAAATGCTCAGAGTGTGCAGCTGACAGCTAACTTTCTCCAACAAATAAATGTCTAGTATTGGAAAAAATGAACCAATCTGCTTATAAGAAATATAGCTATAATTCTTACTGGAAGGAGGGAAAGCAAGACTTCATCTCACTTCCGTTTGGATGTGTTATCAGGAGGGAAAAATTCATGGAGAAGACTCCTAAGAAAAACCACAAATAAACACAAGACCAAAAAACCCCAGCAGATTTGCTCAGTGCAGCACATCATTTGGTGTACCGACGGCTGCTTCCATGAGCATTGACTGTTGAGCCAAGCAAGATAAAATCCTGACAACCTTACTACTTTCACCATGTATCATGATGTTACCTATTGGTCTACTTGTCAAGAGTTGGGGCTTTTTTACACTGAGTTGTACTCCACAAGGAGGGCTGCAATCTTTGATCTTCATCAGCAACTGCTTCAAGTACATTTTACTTATAGCAAGTAAAATTGTGATTCTGTATTTCTCAGGTTGTTAATAAGCCTTCGTCCAATCTTTTTCCTCCCAAAACCACTTTATTGGGAGATAATACAGATATCATATTGTTTCAGAGCTCAATCACATCCTGCAGTATTGTACACTTGCTACCACAGTTTCCAAACATTCATTTCCTTCTTGAACTCCTTAACATCAGCTGCCTTTTCCCCTTACACACACATCTGTAACCCCTAGAAACCCTTATTCTACTTGCTGTCCCTATAGGTTCATCAAACCTGGGTTTCATATACTGAAAAAGGGACCTCGTGTGTGCCAAGCACAGATGCACTCTCTGTGGGAATAACAACAAAAGGGAATACCGGGGTCCTGCAACCCTGGTCTCCCATCCCAGTCAGCCAACACAGCTACCTTACCTGCAGATCTTGTGATCCCACAGCGAACTGTTCATGCGGGTGATCCTACATTGGTGCCATCGTCCCAGGACCTCCTATATTCTTTTGATGTCTCCAGCATCATTCAATATTCTAAGAAAAGACAAATCATCTAATTTTAAAAATGGAGAGAAGACATGCACACCTAAGAACATTCAGGCTGCCAACAAATATATGAAGAAATACCTGTCATAGTTAGCTATTAAAGAGATATAAATCAAAATAATTTTGAGCTATTATCTCACACTAGCTTTAATAGCAGACGTCTAATAAAACAGAAAACAATAAATGCTGATGACTGTGTGTGAGACTGGAACCCTCATACAGTGTTGATCAGGCTGTACAATGGTGTAATCACTGTGAAACTGGATGGCACATCCTCTAAAAGTTGGAATGAGAAATACCATTTGATCCAGCAATCTTTATACTTGGTATCTATCCTAGAAAATTCAGAGCTGCAAGAGGAATAGATATAAGCTCACTCATGTTCAGCTCAAGCAAAGTAGCAAAAGGATAGAAACCACCTAAATTCTCATCAAGGGAAATATAAACAAATATGATATATACATGCAATGGAACAGTACACAACATTAGAAGATAATGATGAGTTTGTGATACACCTAATCACAAGGTGTTGCCTGGAGGACATTGTACTAAGTGAAATTAGTCAGTCACAGATGCACAAATTTTGTATTAAACCACTATTTGTATCAAACCACAAATTTTGTATCAAACCACGTTAAGGAAAACTTGTGTTTATACTACATGAAACATTCTTTCATGGTTACCAAAGATGGGAAGCAGAGGGAGGGGAAGCCACTGGCTAGAGGTTGTCTCTTTTGGGAACCCTCCCCCCACAGCCCTGGGCTATGCCAAATGTTCTTATTTATATAGCATATAGCATGACAAAGGTAGCATAGAATTTACCAAATTTTTAAACATTCTATTTTTTTATTTAATCATTTTATTGAGGCTCATACAACTCTTATCACAATCCATATATACATCAATTGTTATGAAGCACATTTGTACATTCGTTACCCTCATCATTCTCAAAGCATTTGCTCTCCATGTAAGTCCCTGGCATCAGCTCCTCATTTTCCCCCTCCCTCCCGCATTTACCAAATTACATGGAAATTAATCTGCTTTTTTTCCTCCCAATTAGGTGGTAAGTCTCTACAGCAGTTCTCAACCTGTGAGTCACTACCTCCTTGGGGGTTCGAACGACCCTTTCACAGGGGTTGCCCAATTCATAACAGTTGCAGAATTACAGTTATTAAGTAGCAATGAAAATAATTTTGTGGTTGGGGGGGGTCACCACAACATGAGGAACTATATAAAGGTTGCAGCGTTAGGAAGGTTGAGAACCACTAGGCTAGAGAGTAGACGTGTTCATTTGAGGCAGATGATATGCAATAAGAGGGAAGTTTCCCCGCATGCCAAACAAAATAATGGAAATAAGAACCAACACTGGATGGAGCACAAGAGTTAAAGACAACAGAGAAAAAGTGTTACATATAAAATCATGCAATCCTGGTGATCAATAAGTAGATGAATGGATAGACATATTTGGGAGGGAGATTGGAAATAAAACCACATGTAAGTATATGTAAGTTTGAGAAAGGATATTTGTACATGGGTGTTTCCTTTTGCTGCATGAATGTGGTGGAACAAATAGGGGGTAAAATAATGAAAAAAATTTAGATATAACTAAACGTCTTCTGGGAATGAGTCACTGGATCTCAGACATAAGGACAAAGAGGATGTTCTACATCCTTCTTTGTTGAATATCCCCTGGAGTCTTAAAATTCTTGAGCAGACATTTCTTTTTTTGCTACAAAATCAGTATACCTTTATTAATAAGAAAAAATATAAAATTTGGAAGCTGTATTTTTCAACTGCCTACATCTCCAGGTTTATACACATTAGAAGGCAGTGTTTCCATAATTCCAACCCTTCCCCCAATATTTCTGACTTTTTGTTTTACATCATACCAAATCAGTAGTTTTGACATGCTCACATGCTCAAGGGACTCAAATCGTGTTCTGTTTCAATATTCTTTCAGACTGGGAAACAAGCAAAAGGAAATCAGAGGGAGAAAGAACAGGGACACAGGTTGGAGGGATAAGGTTTCACAACACAATTTTTTTTTTTTTTAATGCTAACAGAGTTCTGCTACCCTTGAAGAATGAGCAGGTGCATTGATGATGCAAAAACTCCTTGGCACAACTTTCCTGGCCCCCTTTTCACCAATGCAGTTTTCATTATTCTATAAAACCTTCCTCATAGCCCCCCTCCAATCATCTTGTGTCAAGAAAATCTATCAAGGCTACCTTGTGAAATCCTGAAAAGCAGTCACCTTTACCTTGTGAGCCAACCTGCCTTGACTTTAACTGACCCAGCAGATCCCTTGAGAAGCCACTGCTTTGCTGTGATTTTGCTCTCAGCATCAATTTGGTAAATCCAGTAGTCCCCCCGGTCACAATTTGTTCCATGACACTGTCCTCATTAGCTTCAGTCTTGTTTGAAACACTGATAGAAAGATCAGCTCTCTGACTTAGCTGCTCCTTGCGGACAGTTTTCAGCACCCACCCAACTGAAGGATTGCTGCATCCCAGATGGACATTTAAAATGGAGAAGGCTGAGCCATGTAAGAGCTCAGCTTCAGTAGCTATTGCATCAATGGTAGGTGTAGGATCTTTTTCCAACAGCTTTTGGACTTCCACTACATTTATTCATTGCCTGAGGTTAACTGTCTTCCTTCTCTTAGCTCATCTTTGAGGTCTTCTCAACCTTCATTAAAATGTTTGATCCATCAAACATTGTTGTTCTATGTGGCATAGGATTCTGGTAAAGTTGGTGTAAAGCTTCAATGACATCTTGAATTGTGTTTTTAAAAAAATGATATTACCCCTCTTCTAGAGATTGCTTTTTTACATGGAGCAATGTCTTCTCCTCCTTGTCATTCTTCTTCTTTTTGAAGGTACCTTAAAGAGACTACGGTTTTACTGCTGTCATCCACTGATTGTGCAGACAAGTTTAAACACCTCTTGACTAAACTGGAACCCAAGGAGCAATACTTTTTAACTTATCCTCATACAAGCTGCGGGGTTTTAAACTTATGACAAGGGAACGAAGGGGAATTTTCTACTCATTGCAAGGAAATCCTCATTTAAACCTCAGTGAGGCAAAAGCATTTAAAACCCATGAACCTCAGCTGGTCCAACTTAGCCAGTCCAATCTCTATAAGGAACTGGCATATGTGTCTGTGCTGGTCACTCTGTAGCAGAATCACTTCTCCATGTTCTGGATGCTCAATCAAAGAACCATTGCAGTCAAATATCTTCTTAAAGGTCTTCATTAGTTTCTTTTTGTTGTAATCATCAGCACTTCCTTGGACAGTGGTAAGGGTCTTTATGCTGTTACGCTGTTGAATTCTTATATGGATATAATCCTTGGTCCCTGCAGGAAATAGGTCATCACCCTTACTGACATCTGCAAACGGGTCGAAAGACTGAAGGTTCTGGATAGTGGGCATACGATTCATTTCCTTTCCAAGCCTGAAGGAAAAGGCAGGCACAGGGGATGGAGCGTTGGGTAGCAAGGGCATTTGAAGAGGCTCAAGGAGGATGTGGCACAGTGATAGGGGCTGAGAAGATACTTAAGGTGCAAATATTGGTCTTACCCAACCAGCATAGAGGTAAATGATGAAAACTGAAGAAAATGAACAAGGATTGAAATGCCAATTGGCAAGCAATCAGTTAAATGGACTAATGGACCATGCAAGCATAAGCCTGGAACCCGTCAAATAGATGGTGTCTTGCTACCACTCCAAAATGCTCATAAAGGAATCATATTAGAAGGTCCTGGATACAGAGTGAGATAGTTAAAGTTTATTGTGCCAACCTGGCCGATAAACACATGTGGGGTTAATTGAAAGGCGGAGGGATAAATGGTTCTGTGAGCCTTGCCTTTCTAGTTCTTGGTTCTCTTATTTTGTGATGGACAGACCAGGGTGCAGCTGCTTTAGCCAGTCCCTACTTCAGCTGACAGGGCTCACGTCCTGAAAGACATCCCCAAGGAGAAGACACCTGGACCTACCCGGATGCAGCCCTGGGTGCTGGATCATCTGTGTAGAGAATGTGCCATCACTGAAATGCTTACACATTCACTGACTCGGCTTCCTCCTACAATCAGCATCATTGCTTGTCTTTTGTGAGATGAAGGAAGACTTTGTGGATTGGTGTCAGACATATGGGTTAATGTTGGATTTGTGGGCTTGGGTAGCACTGGGTTGGGATGTTTTCTTGTTGTGCACTTAACCTTTATATAAAACTCTCTCTTATACATGAATTTCTGTGGATTTGTTTCTCTAAAATACCCAGACTAACACACAGAGGGAGAAAATTGTGGGACAAAACCCCAAATCATAAAAAAGACCAGACTTATTGATTGAATAGAAATGGGTGGAACTCCTTAGAAATGACCCTTAGATACCTTTCAAGTATATAAATAAACACCCTGTAGCTTAATGTTCAGTTAAATTGGCAAGTTTATACTGGGAAAAGTAACACTAATTGAGGTTAGAATAATCAACCATTTGAAATGAAAAGTGCAGCGTTTACCCATGGACAAGGATCAGAGGATTAAGAAAGTGGGGTATGAAAACAGGAGACAGAGGGAGGAAGTAGGATAAATGATGTTCTATTGTAGGAACTGCAATAAGTGGTATGAAACAAAATGTGTATAAATTGTTGAAAGGAAAACGGATCTGCTCTGGAAACCTTCACTCAATTAAAATAAAACCTAAAGACAAAGAAACAACAACAAAAACACAATACAAGATATATCTCTGGGTGGTGCAAAGAGTTTATTCCCCTGGCTGCTAACACAGAAGTTAGAGTTTCAAGTTCTTCCCGTGTCACCTAGGAAACAGTCATGGCAATCTATTTCTGAAAGAAATCAGTTTGTGAAAACATAGGTTTTTCAAACATAGTTCTATTCTGACACACATGTGGTTGATATGACGTGAAACCAATGAACAACTGGGCTTGTTTTTGTACACGAGATGAACTTCCTCCAAAAGCTAACTTCTTTTTTATTATTTTGTTTCATCACGAGCAACTGCTCTTAACTAGAATTTCTTAAGTTTAAACATTTATAATTCCTGTTATAATTGTTAGATATCTTGAATTTTCAAAACTACTGGACAAACCGTGCATTTATATTCTAGCATTAGCAACAGTCTTATAGCTCTAGTGCCAATTTAAGAAATATAAATGAAGAGATTAGAAAATTTATATCATTGAAGGCTCTCATGGATAACAGAGTATCTTTTCATTATATAATAATATAATTTTATGCAACTGCAGGTAAAGAAAATGAACAAGCATTGAAATGTCAATGAAAAATTTTCTCATTGATAAGCTTGGAAAGACATCATGATTTTGTATTCTTTTAACAGGTCATGGGTCTTTGTATCTCCTTACATGAAGACCATTGGGAAGTTATAAAAGCATAATGAGCTATGATATTTGAAAGTTCTGTCATAAATATGCTTGGTACAACAAAGAGCAGTCCTTCTTTAATATCTACCTGTGATTCTACAGGAATTCACCTTTTATATTGCTTTAGAACAGACTTTAGGACAAATTTGTATTCAAATATTTGTTTAGGCCAAAAATGCTTCTATTAAGTCGTTGTAAAAAGGGTTTTGAAGTTTAAGTGAATTCAGTTTATTTTTATTCTCATTATTAAGAAATGACTGGACACTCATATAATAAGGTGCACTGATGGTTTGAATTAAAATGTTTGAACATAAGCTTTCCTTAAGTTATGCAATATAGGACCATTGATATACATATGTTTGTGTATATGTACACATGCTTATACATAAACACATACATACACATGTACATATGAAAATCTCACAATCAATTCACTAGCAGTTTGGGAACAAAGAAAAGGATACAGAAACCAAAGCCTCTCTTTACCTTCATTCTCCATTTGGGTCCACCTACCATGTTTGGAGTTCGCCCTACTATTTGATAGGTACTTTCGCCGGAGAGGGTGTGTTGGAATTGGAAAAGATAATACCTATCTGGAATTTAGACTCCACTGAGAAACTATTGCTTCCTTTCTTTGTTTTAGAAATGGGAAGCAGAGGGAAGGGAAGGAAAGCCTAGGGTCCCAAATGTGACTTCGTAGATGCTCAACATGACGAAGAGCTGTGGAAAGCTGTCTGTTACACAGGAGTTGTTTTTGCTCAGATTGTTTAAAAAGACTATTTTTCTTGTCTTCCCTTATGCATCTCTCAACACATATATAGACTATGTGAATTACCCAAGGTGAAATCTTGGTAGCTTGTTTACGGAATTACTGCGTGTGTGTGTGTGTGTGTGTGTGTGTGTGTGTGTGTGTGTGTGTAGACATGCTGTTGTTGTTAGACGCTATCTGGTCAAGGCTGACTCCATGACTCTGCATACAACAAAAGGAGATACTTCTCAGTCCTGCGGCATCCTCACAACAGTCCCTCTCTTGAGTTCCTTAGTGCAGTCACTGAGTCAATTCATCTCACTGAGGATTCACCCCTCGTTTTTGCCTACCTTTTCCAGTCCTATGCATGATGTACTTCTCCATGGATTATATCCATGCATGATGTACTTCTTTTCCCAGGCATGATGTACTTCTTTTCCTTTCCCATGCATGATGTACTTCTCCATGGACTAGATCCTCCTGATACCATGTCCAGAGTATGTGAGGTGAAGTCCCATCACCTTCCCTTCTAAGGAACAGACTGCTTGTATTTCTTGTACTCATTCTTTAGAAAGTCCACGTTATACTCGTTTCATCAATATCTTAATTAAAATGCATACAGTTCTTTCAACCTTCCTTATTAATTTTCTAGCTTTCACAAATATATGAGGTAATTGAAAATATTATAGACACACATGGTGATTTTGTTTTTGCTTTTTAGATTTAGATACACATACAGAAATCGGTATAGCTAAAGATAGAGATACCAGTGTCTCACCCTCCCAAGAAAATAGCTATTGCTGGAGAAAATATTTATGATGCTTAGTATATTTTTTTCTGATTATTTTTTAGCTCTTCAAGTATAAATCTTTTCACATAATTTAAGTTTATGAGCTCTGAAAAAATGTCACCATGATCTGCTTTGTAAAATCAACCCCTGAAAACACTATAGTTGTAGTTTTGTCTTCACACAAAAGGGGCCACTTGATTCTTCGCAAACTTTTCTTATCAAAACCTCTGCATCATTACCGTGTTACCTTCTTATGTTTCTAAGCATTGCAAAAAGCCATTGGAAACATACCTAACTTCTGGTTTCAAAGAGGAAGGAAAATCAAGCCCAAAGTTGATTCCTATAAGGCGGAAGTCAGATAAGGAGTTACACTCCAACCTTTTAGCAACCTTTTAAACACCACTTGCTTCTCCTATGACATTCTCTACTTCTCTGCTGGGGTCTGTCATCTACCGAGATACAAAACTCTCAGACCATGCTCACTATTATGAAGTTTAATAGGGATGTTAACAGGTTACAGTTCTGGATCAGAAACGCACAGGGTCCAGTTGTTCAGGTCAAGAGCACCACTTCTCAGCCATGTTCACAGGAAGAGCTCTCCCGGGCCCTGATCCTCTTAGTCACTGTCCCCCTGGTTTATGCTCCACTCAGGCAATGTAACATAGCATCTGGAGCATTTGGTGACAAATGTCCATCGGGCACTAAACTCCACCATAATCCTCAATCTGAAGGTTCTCAGCTCTAGATCGGTGGGTTAGCAAACCAAGTTCTCCAAAAACTGCCCGTAGACACCCACTCCACAAGTGATTCTCCTGCATGCAGGCACTCTGCTTTCTCTATCTTTAATAATAATAATAAACTGATTACTGAAACCTATGATACTGCTTAGTGCCCTTGCTACTGCTGTCACTGCATCTCAGCAACTTCTCAACAATCTCTTGCTGTCTCTGGGGTTACAGCTCTCTGTCTTTTGGCTTCCAGAGGCTACTCACACAGGGATCGTGGATTCCAAAGAACAATCTACACTCCTGATCCTTCTTTATTGATAATAATGACATCTCCACCCCATTCCGGTTTCCAAGATAGTGCATATTATACCTAGCTGGATGGCAAAATTGACCAAAATGTTAGAGTTCCCAGTTTCTACACTTACAATTGGCAGTGTTAATGATCAGTCCAACTGAATGACACAATTCTTCCATCATCTTGCACCACCCGATTTTATTGATTAGGAAATGGACCCAATCTATATGGTCCCAGCTTGGCTTGAGTGACAATTACAAAGACTATTAGTTAGAGGGCCAATATCAAATAAATCTCTACACCACTTCCTCCCCACACTATTCCACAAAAATTGCATCTATGTATGTAGATATGTTCTATATTTTGACTGCATATAGTATCGTGTATGTATGTGTGTTGTCTCAAAACATCTATTAGCTATCTTCTATTCTACACCTTCCTTAGTCTTTTATTGGATCAACTATATATAA